CGACTCCTTGTCTATGAGTTTCTTCCCAATAAAAGCCTTGACAACTTCTTATTTGGTAAGTTCACTACTTAAACTGGAAGTCTATCACATTATATCTTTTGCTTGACTAAAGAAGAAAGGTTTTGACTTAGTTTGAAAAAAACTTTATATGATTGTACTCGCGTTGGCATGTAGATCCCATCAAGCGCCCACATTTGGATTGGAAAACACGCTACAAAATAATCGAAGGCATTGCACGTGGCCTTTTATATCTTCATGAGGATTCTCAGCAGAGGGTTATTCACCGTGATCTCAAATTGAGTAATATTCTTTTAGATGACGACATGAATCCTAAGATTTCAGATTTTGGCTTTGCAAGGCTCTTTGACGTGGATCAAACTCAGGTTAAAGCAAGTAAAATTGCAGGAACCTAGTAAGTATGAAGATGTTATAGAGTATTTTAGTTTGTAATCTGTATCCTTGAGTAATGCAGATGAGGAGTCTGGATTATTGTCAAGAGAAAAAGGTAATGTTTGTAATTTGTATCTAATTGAGTCTGCTCCTTTTGACATGCAGCGGATACATGGCACCTGAATATGCAAGGCATGGAAAACTCTCAATGAAGTTGGATGTCTTTAGTTTTGGTGTAATACTACTAGAGATTGTTAGTGGCCAAAAGAATGGTGGATTCCGAAATGGAGAGAATGTGGAGCATCTATTAAGTTTTGTATGTCTACCTTTCTCATCTTCTCTTCTTTTATAAGGTTTATAATAGAACATTAGGCATTAACTAATCCACTTGAAATGGTAGAAATGAAAAACTGGAGGTAATGCTTTTTTTTAATATGAACTTGTTGCAGGCTTGGACAAACTGGAGGAAAGGGAGAGTAGCTAATATTATAGATCCCACCTTAAATAATGCTTCGAGCCATGAAATAGTGAGATGCATTCACATTGGGCTAATTTGTGTTCAAGAAAAGGCTGCTGAAAGACCGACAATGGCTGCGGTGGTGCTTATGCTTGATAGCCACTCTTTTGCTCTACCAGTTCCACTGCAACCTGCTTATTTTATGAAAAACAGTTGTTTATCAGTCATGCAGTTTTCGTGCTGTAGTTCCATGGAAACAGGGTCAGATGAACAGAATAGTTACTGTGCTGATGCATCAGCTAACGAGGCTTCAATTAGTAGTCTATATCCTCGTTAACTATGAATCATATGATTATAGTCAAAGTTAATTATTGTTACCACAATTATATGTAATAAGTAAGATAAATAGGTCCTTGGTGAAATTTAAATACATGTTATATTGTCATTCTATAACAAAAATTATTTTTAGAACAACCAAAATTAACAAAAAGTAAAATAAAAACTAAATTGAGTTATGCTTAAGTCATTATATAAATTATAAAATAATACATCAGTTTAATTTTAAAATAAAAATTAAAAATTTACATTACATTATTATTATTATTATTATTATTAATTTATTAATTTAAAATAATAATTAATCTTAATAATTGAATATTAGAATAAATAGTTATTAAATGATATTTATTCTTAAGAAAAATAAAATCTTTATCAAATTAATTTATAATATATATATATATATATATATATATTTTAATAAAATAATTTTTTTATTTTTATTTAAAAAATAATTATTATTTTATAAAATAAATCAATTCATAAATATATAAATTATGACTATAATAAACTAATTCAAAATATACCTAGTTTAGTTTATATCATAAAATTTTTTATCCAATCTATTTTTTACCCTTCAAATATTTTTTTCTCATCCTAACAACTTTTATTGATAAATTCAATTTAAATGTCATTAATTATAAATTCATGATATTAAATTTATGTATGAATAATTCACATGATATGTATTTATTGGTTATACGTAAGCCGCCACAACGGAATAGACTTGACGAATAAAGAAAAACAAATCAATTGGGGTTTGCGCTAAACTTTCCGCGTTCGGGAATCCTTAACGAATTGCCATGAAAATTAACATCAGGCACTTACCCGTTGGTCAAAATAAAAAATAAAAAAGATAAATCATCTTGAAACCGCGGATGAAGAAGAACGCCAGCAAAGATAAAGAAAACTTATTTATATGATTCCATGTGTGTCATCGTACAGACTTTCCACAAGTGGGTATATAAACTTTTACAAGTTTCTTTCTAATCACGTTATATTATTTTATGTAGCTTAGGAATATTTCTAATGCAATTTTAATTAATTTTACTCTTATTAAATATTATGTTAATGAATTTTATTTTTATTTTAACAATTATTTTAAATTGAAAAAAAAAAGTAATTTTTGTATCAAATAAAATAACTATTATTAACTTATTTTTAGTATAAAAGCATTTTGAACATAAAACACTTTGTTACAAAATTAATTTTATAATTGCTCACTCAAAGACACAATGATCGATTCAACCTGCAAATAATCTAGAAGAAGTTCGTTGCACAAAAAAGAAAAAAAAAAATTCTGGGTTCTTTAAAAGGAGCATGCCATCAATCTTCTCTTTCTTACATTTACATTCCCATTCATTCACTTTCAGGATAGCTGCTATGGTCATAGTTTCTAAAGCCTTGATCTTATTCAATGTTCTCCTTACTCTAGCCGCAGCTCAGCCAAACTTCGTTAAATATTACTGTATCGACACGAACGGCAACTACACTGCTAAGAGCATCTTCCAGGATAATCTCAATACCCTGTTGTTCGACCTCTCTTCCAACACTGAAATTGACTATGGCTTCTACAATTTTTCCAATGGCCAAAACTCCGACAAAGTTAACGCCATTGGGATGTGTAGAGGAGATCTTGAGCCAGAAGCTTGCCGTAGTTGCCTCAATAATTCAAGAATCCTTCTCACACGGCTCTGTCCAAACCAGAAAGAGGCAATTGGGTGGTATGATCAGTGCATGCTGCGCTACTCTACTCGCTCAATATTTGGGATAAAGGAATTTGATCCTTCATATTATATATGGAACAACAGGAATGCAACAAACGTGGATCAGTTTAATGAAGTTGTCGGGAACCTTTTGAGAAGTCTAGGAAACAGTGCTGCTGCCGGTGATTCTCACCGTAAGTTTGCTGCAGCAAACAGAACAGGCCCAAGCTTTCAGACTGTATTTGATCACGTGCAATGCACACCTGATTTATCAGAGTTAGAATGCAATCAGTGCTTGTTTGGTGCAATATCATATATCCCTAACTGCTGCGCTGGAAAGGTACGCGGCAGAATTTTCAAACCCAGTTGTAATCTTAGATTTGACACCACCCCATACTTTGATCCTGTTCTTAACACGGACGTGCCATCTTCGCTGACACCGCAACCACAACCATTTCCTTCTCCTCCATCCGTCACTGCCACGTTCAAAAAAGGTTCTCATTGTGGCATGTTCATGCTACTCATATTTTGACTACATTGCACTTTAGCTAGCAAGTTTTTTATACACATTAGTCATTGTTATTCAATTTTCATTTTTTTTTTCATTTTGGAGTTCGCTTTTTTTCACAGGATAGGCATATTTACTTACAGTGCATGGTTTTACTTCTTTTTTTCAGGTAAGCGAAACTCATGGCGTGTCATCGCCATAATCGTGGCATGTGTCTCCACAATGATACTTGTCACCTTCACGTGCATCTATTTAAGAGGAAGGAAAAAGAGGACGTATTTTGAAAGTAAGTCAAAGCCATAAATTCTTAAATAACATGCTTAATGGCTACACAAAAGAATAATACCTTTTAACAAAGAATATGTCCTTTAATACAATGTATGCTTCTTTGTTCCCTTTATCTGATGAGTTTAACTCAGGGTTACAATGCTGCAGTGAAAAGTTCAGTAAATTATAATACTTTTTCCAATCATACAATTCTTGTTACTATCTACTATTAATTAGCAAATAAATGCTGTATTGTTCAAACAAAATGAAATCTGAAAGTCAAATGATGAGGAATTCATTCATCAGATAAAAACAACCCTTGCTATTTGCTGCAACCCCAATTTTGGGTATCATTTAAAGAACTCGCATTCCCCAGGTGAATCTGAAGCTGACTATGAAACTGAACCTACTGAGACATTACAATTCAACTTCCAAACCATCATAGATGCAACAAATAACTTTACAGACGCAAATAAGCTTGGACAAGGTGGATTTGGGCCAGTCTACAAGGTAGGATAACACTTACAAGATTGAGTAAAACTTGTCAGATTTCATGTCAAAACGTGTCCTGTGTAACAACGTAGTTTGCTTAACTAAAAAGCTGGAAGCGAATTAAATATAACATAACTCTGATTTTCAGGGTAGACTTCCCAATGGTGAAGAAGTTGCAATCAAACGGTTGTCCAGGGGTTCTGGTCAAGGAGATACAGAATTTAAAAATGAACTGCTGTTACTAGCAAAGCTTCATCACCGAAATTTAGTAAGGCTCTTGGGCTTTTGTTTGGAAAGAGGAGAAAGGATACTGGTGTACGAGTTTCTTCCCAATAAAAGCCTTGACTACTTCATATTTGGTAACACAATTTCTGCTTGTCTGCCCTGTATATCTATTACCTTTTTGTTGCTAGAAAAACGAAAGGAAATATGTCGAACATAACTGAAAACATGGTGTTTCCTTTGGCATGTAGTTCCAATAAAGCGCTTATATTTGGATTGGGAAAGGCGTTACAAGATTATAAAAGGCATTGCCCGAGGTCTTCTTTATCTCCATGAAGATTCCAGACTGCAAATCATTCATCGTGATCTCAAAGCAAGCAACATACTTTTAGATGAAGAAATGAATCCTAAGATATCAGATTTTGGCACGGCAAGACTGGTTGTTGCAGATCAAATTCTAAGAAATACACTTAGAGTTGTTGGAACCTAGTAAGTATCATAATATGCTGAGATCAAATTCTATCTTATTTTTCTATTTGTTGTCCTTGGCATTAAAAACAAAGTAGAGATTTGTATGATGTCTATCTTATTGACTTCGTACATGTTGATATGCAGTGGATATATGGCACCTGAGTATGCAAATTATGGACATTTCTCAGTGAAATCAGATGTTTTTAGCTTTGGTGTACTAGTTCTTGAGATAGTGTCTGGACTCAAAAATAGTGATATCCGTGACGGCGATTATGCAGAACATCTAATAAGCTTTGTAAGACTGCAATCTTTAAGTTACAATCTTCTTAGGCTTAAAGTAGTCCATGCATGACATTGTACGTATCTTGCAGGCATGGAGGAACTGGAGAGAAGGGACAGCCTTTAATATTGTAGATCAAACACTGCACAATAATTCAAGAGACGAAATAATGAGATGCATCCATATTGGATTACTGTGTGTTCAAGAAAACGTAACCAGCAGACCAACTATGGCAACAGTTGTAATCATGTTTAACAGTAACTCTTTCACTCTTCCATTACCCTCACAACCTGCATATTCTCTGAATGCCAGAGATCCACCGGATACAAGCTCAGATGAGTCAAGGATTAACTCCATGCAAGCATCAGCAAATGAGGCTTCCATTAGCGAGTTAGATCCTCGCTAGATTTTACTAACGTTGTGGTGACTCTCAGAATCATTACTTACTGATTTTGATTCAGCTCCCTCAAACCAAACAAATGCTGGTTGTTTACTGATAGAGAAGAAAATGTAACTTGATTTTTGAATTCTCCAATCCAATCACATCAAGATGTAACCATTGATTTATATTTATCAAGACATATACAATTCAATTTTGAGGGACATTCATATAATACTTATGAATAGATTATTTTTTATTTTTTTAGACAGAAAAATAATATTAAAAAAATGTTATTGGGGGTGTGATTGATAATTTGTCTTGTATTAATTCATTCGGATTCAATAGTGTAATGAAGGGCATCATTAATTAATTAATTTTAATTAAAATAATTCATAAAGCTAAACAAAGGCCTACCGCAGTAATAGGTTTAAATTAAAAATCAACTTTGTCCTTATCTAATTGATGTTGGAAATTTGACTAAACTTGGTCAAACATCCAATTACTTTTTTCTATTTCAATATTTAAACTAAAACCTTACTTCAACAGATTAACTCTACTTCTAAAATAAATAAATAAATGATGGTAAAAATGTGAGAAGAAAAGAAGAAAACAGAAGTAAGATTATTGTTTAGTAACTAAAAATAAGAGAATAAATGAAAAAAATATATAATTAAAATAAGAAAATAAATAAGAAGAAAAAATAAATATATAATAAATAATGAATTTAATTAGACTGAGTTAGATTTTATAGAAAAAAAAATCAACCATGAACATCCTCACTTTGAGTTTGTTTAAGAGTTTTTTTCCTTAATACATCGAATAAAAAATTAAGAAAAAATTAAATTTTCGAAAAACGAAGTTAAATTATACATAAGTTAAACAGTCAAATACCTTTTTTATTTTTTCTTTATGAAAAAACTGATAGAAGATCACTCCGAATATATTTTATAATAAGAAAAAAAAGATTCACAATCCAATATCATCAAACATCTATTCAATAACTTTATTTATTAATAAAATAATAATTTTTAATTAATTTTATTTTGAATCAATCATTTTATAAATATAATATTAATAAATAAGACTGGATAACGGATTTTTTTCTTTTATGTGAAAATATCACTCTTTATAATATTACATGTTCTTCTGCAATTATAAAAATGTTTTCTAAGCTAACATACTTTATGCAATTACTACTTAGCAACAAGTTTCTGCAAACATATTTTATAGTATTATATACATGTTGTTGCTTGATGGGCACTTTTTTGCGTTGTCAAAATAAGGATTTGATATTCTTATTGAGTAGGAAATTTAATTTTTTCTTCTCTGGGGTGATACGTAGTTGACATGGTCTTCAAACACAAGCAGGAGGTTCAGACAAAGTTTATAAATTGAAAAAAAGGATACAAAGCACAATGACAAGATGTTATTCAAAATTTAAAGCATTTTCCCTTGTGTTAAAACGAAAGATTCAAAGCTTTTAGAACACACAAGGCCTGGTCTCAGTTTTACAGTTTCTTCTGTTCCCATATATATGTGACCTCTTCCTGCAATTCAATGGTAAAACTAGGAATTTTGCTTATAAAAGTACCAACAACACAAATTTTACTCACCAAATTAATCACTGAAAGAACGCAATCAAAATGGCCGTTGTTGTTTCCTCAAGGTTGCATTCCTATGCGTGTTGCCTCCTTTTCATAATCATATCTCAAGCCAGCGCGCAGCCAAGTTTCGTAAATCACTTCTGTGTCAGTGACGAGGGCAGATTCGCAGCCAACAGCACTTATGGCACCAACCTCAAAACCCTTTTGTCCAATCTCACTTCCAACACACAAATCGACTATGGTTTCTACAACCTCTCTTACGGCGAAAACAGTGACAGGGTGAACGGCATTGGAATGTGCAGAGGAGATGTTAAACCAGATGAATGCCGCAGCTGCATAAACAATTCAAGGGTTCTTCTAACACAGCTTTGTCCAAACCAGAAAGAGGCAATTGGGTGGTATGACAAGTGCATGTTGCGCTACTCAAACCGCTCAATATTTGGCCTCATGGAAACTTCACCTTTGTTTTACACGTTGGAGTTAGTCAATGCAACGGACGTGGACCAGTTCAACCAAGTATTGGAGAACTTGTTGAGGAATCTAACAGGCATAGCTTCTGCATCAGGTGACTCTCATCGTAAGTATGCTGCGGGAAATGCAAGTGCACCAAATATAGAAACCATATATAGTGTTGTGCAGTGCACTCCTGACTTGTCTCAACAAGACTGCAACCGGTGCTTGGTTGAAGCTGCCTCAAGAATCGAAAACAGCGGCAAGATAAGTGGCAGAGTTGCAACACCCAGTTGCAATATTAGATATGAAAACTATAGCTTCTATGATCAACCTTCTACTACGGCAGATGCACCAGCACCCTCACTGTGATGCCTAGCACTTCCACCATTCACCTTTAACGTTAAAGGAGATTTATGCTGACATTATGAATGTCAACTGAATGAAGGTCCATTAATGAATAAACTATGTATTTCACTACAGTATTCTGTGAAATTGAAAATAAATGTCAGATAAATATCTGAAATTGAAATTTATTATCATTTAGTCTTTATGTTTCGAGCTCTGATGAATCTCGTTCTCTTTCCATTTGGAGTCATGAAACTCACTATAATTCAAATTTAAATAATTAAAATAATGAAACAAAAGTATACAATTCACTAAAAGAGCAAAATCCTTACATTTTCTTAATTGGTCACTAACATTATGTCTAGTTGTTGGAAATGGAAGGAGGAATGGCAAGGGAAGAAACCTTTTTTATAAAGTTGTGTTGAATGGTTTAATTTTTAAAAGAAAAAAAGAGAATGGAGAAGAACAAAATCTTTCATCCAAATATTATTTGACTCTGATATTGGAAGAATTTGGAAATTTAGTTTCACTCCTGTGTAAAAACCATCATATTAATTTATAGTTTGAAAAGAGAAACGACGCAAAATAATGGATTGGAACCCGAGTGTTCCAATTTAGTGAGAAGTACTTTTTAACTCTGTAGTGAGTGAGCATATGATGAATTATTTTTTTTTCAAGAAGTCTTACTTCACTGGGAAAACACGTTCTTAACTTATACTAAATCCTAAGATACTTATCTCAACGGACCAAAATCTTTTTAAGGGACTTACTCTTAACAAAGATAAGTTTTACCAGTATCAGTTTTGGAAAGCTTATGTAAAAAAAATTAACTGAAATTTTTTCAAAAAAAATATTTCAGATTTTATTCTTCTTAAAGAATACCAAGTTTTATTGGAAACAGCTCGTGGGAAATAAGTTTCATTCTTTCCCTCTTGAAGTCAGTTCAATTCTGGTAGAACACTTTAAAAAAGGAAGAATTTTCAAATAAATTTATGAAGAAACCAGAATCCATGGACAAGAAACTCCCAAAGCTTCATTTCCCCCTTATGATGAGGAAATAAACTTCACATATCAGATGATCGAAGAAGGACTTGAAGACATATCTTCTTTATCAGTTTCCAGAAGATGTTCTTAAAACATCAAACGGTGGAACGGTACAAACCGCGCCTCACCACAACCAATGAGTATTTCAGATAAAGATGAATTTGTCCTTGAAGATTTCGAGGAACTTCTCATAACGTAAGCCCTTACGTCATACAACAATATAAAAAAATGACAAAGATTAATGGTAAATAATGATATCTTGTTATCTTGTCATATACCATTACACGTTGTTAGACCCTTTAAGTCTTGCATATTAATGATAAAAAGATTGAACCAATATTTTGATAACAAATTGGTAGAAACCCTTCTACCAAAATATAAAAAAAAAAAATTAATTAATATTCAAGTTTGTCTTTTAGTGATGAACGAATATCCTCCAGTAACTCCTCATTTCCCATTAAGTTAACTTGACCACTAAGTAAACTTTTTTTTTAAGTTTTTTTAAGACCTATAAATTTTTAAATGCATCCCACAATTTAATATTTTAATATTTAGTGAGAAGTAAATTTATAATTATGTTACAATCCTATTTTAATTTATATTTAAAATTTAAATACATTTTTAGTTTTATAATACGACTGAGTTTTTATTTTAGTTTCTGTAAGAAAAATGTTTTTTTTATCTCCTAAAAATAAAAATAATTATTTTTAATCTCTAATATTATGACATTAATGAATCGATTATATATGTGTTGAATAAAAAAGTCACGCCATGTCATATTAATATCATGGTAATATAATGTAAATATTTAACCCTTAAAATAAATTCTTTAAAATTAATAAAATAAATGTTCAAGATAAAAAATAGTAATTTAATTTTTTTATGAAATTACAATCAAATAATAAAAAAATTAAGAAACTAAAATAATATATGTCCAAAGTTGTGAAATCGAGATGGTCCATTTAGGATGACAATTAAACTCGTACCGTGAGGACCGATCCAGTCCTCGTCCCGAGTTTGACGGGAAAAACTCGAGTTGATCGGGACGGGACGGGTTCGGGTTTTTCTCACTTTAAAAAGTCGGGGCGGGGATGTGTAATGCAATCCTCACCCCGACCCTGCCCCGACTTTATATTTAAATTTTAAAAGTATTTCCTTTTCTTTTTCTATTACATATAAGGTCATTTTTTTAATATTTCACCAAATTTTATTTTTCTACCCACTTTTTAATTTTTTTTGTCTTTTTTAATCTTTTATATCAATTAATTTATTACATTATTCTTTCTCTTACCTTTCAATTTTTCACATTTCCTTAATCTCTCCCATCAATTTGTTTTTTTTTTCAATCTTTTCAACAAATTTGATGAACACAAAGTTAATTTTTTTTATTCTTTATCTTTTTCTAAAATATTTTACATAAATATTAGTAATAACTAATATTATTTTATTTATAATTTATATTTATTAGGTTTTATTATGTCATATTTTTTTATCTTATTATTCTTATTTATCATATATCAAATTTTATCTTAATAAAATAATTGTATTTTAAAGATTAAAGGAATTGATAATTTAAACTTTTATTATTTTGAACTAATTGAATAAGAATTAACTTATTAAATATTTCTTTATAAACTATATATTTCATATTTTTAAATGACAACTTAAAAATGAATTAACTTATATATAATCAAATGTTTGAATACAGTATTATAATAATAATGTTATAAATATTCAAATATTTGAATACGGTGTTATAATAATAATAATAATGTTATAAATAAAAAAATGATTAAATATTTTTTTTACATACATATTTTAATATAAATATAATAAATTAAAATGTATATTTAATTAATAATAATTATAAATTATAAAATTATAAATATTTATTTATATATAAAAAATAGATAGTAAAATTAATTTATTAAAATGTAATTATCTTTTTAAAAATAATATAGATCGGGGACGGGACGGGACGGGGACGGAAACCGAAACCCGACGGGGACGGGATGTTGACTTAATTTCTAACCCGACGGAAATCAAAGATGGTTAAAAAAGTCGGAGATGGGGATTGGGAGGCAAAACCCGCCCCTGCCCCGCCTGTTGCCATGCCTAGGTCCAGTCCAACCTAACTTTATGAATAAAGTAAAAATGGTAAAAAAATATGATGGACGAATTTAATCAATATTTATAAATAAGGTATAATTTTTTGTTTAATCTAATTTTAAGTTAAATCAATGTATTAACGGATTAATTTTAATCTCATTAAAAAATATTTTTTTTATTAACGTATCTTTATAAAAATAGTTAATTAAAAAATATTTAAATAAAAAATAAAAAATAATATTTTAAAATTTTTAATTAAATTAAAGAAATTATTTTTTTATTTTAAATATAACTATTTAATATATAAACTATGAGAAGATATCCATTTAATTCATAATAAGAATTAAAAAAATTATATTTTATTATTATTTATTTTTTTTAGTGATTTTGATCAAAATAATAAATCATCTTAATCCTTATAATATGGAGTAGGTGAATATTAAGAATTTTATCTTATATATTTTTAAAATAAATAATTTTTTTATTAAATTAATTTATAATATATATATATATTAATAAATATTATTTTTATTTTATTTAAAAATTATTATTCTATAAAACAAACTGATTTATAAATTTATAGACTAGACTGATTTAAATTCATATAAATTTTACTAAATTTATATAAGTTTGGATAAAATAAAATTGATTCAATTTAAATTATAAGTAGTTTAATTTTTATTTTTATTTTTATCTTTTAAGTTTATGTATTGGGTTAATTAAGTCCTCCCACATCCGTTACCGCAATTAATATAGAAAACCTCCGCCAAATTTCAAGTCATGGATGTTCTCGTATGCTAAATGAGCATAATCTGCAAGTGCTACAAGGTGGTTTCATTTTGTTTTTCTAAATGTTTCATGAAATAAACACATCATGAAGATAAACTCACTTTACTTTCACAAGGCTTATTTATTTCTGAGAATCCTCATTCCATTTTCTTGTATGAGATTTGTCACTAATCATGAGAGGTAATTAACAAACCAAAAATAACAATGTATATTTGGCTTCTGAAAATTCAAGAATTTGAATTGATTATGAGTTATTTGTTTAAATTTATATGGTAAAATACCGTTCATATTTTTAGTTTTATTTTGTATTTTTCAGAAGCAATTATGTTAGAGTTAATAATATTCAATTCACACGTATGATGAAACTAAATGTGAATAAAAGTCAAACATGTATTATTTCAACGAATATGAATATTGTTGGGTACTATATATTTTAAATATTTACAGCGTAAAAACATACATTTTAATTTGTTTGAAGACAAGTTAACGGTACATAAAAGTTTTTCCTACGATTATAATGACGAAATTAAACACACTGAAAAAAGTTGTAATATCAAATCAAAATTTGAAAACGAACGTTACCAAGATGATTCAAGGTTATAACGGACAGCAGCAACCTTACCTTCATTATCATCTCTAAAGCTTCAAATTTTGTTTCTTGCATGACTCTTTTTTCTTGTTTTCTGATTCTGAAATCATTCTCCGAAGCCAGCGCCCAATTTTTAGCATTTTCTGTGATAACGAAGGCAACTACAAAAGTAGCACCTATGACAACAACCTCAAATTGACTATAACTGAGAGAGCTGCATCAGATGACTCGCGTCGTAAGTATGCTGCGGGTCATACAAATGATACAGATTTTGAAACCACATATGGTGTGGTGCAGTACACTCCTGATTTCTCTGACCGTGACTGCAATAACCTCTCGATTGGAGAAATCCAAGATTGTTGTAATGCCAAGATAGACGCACACCACCCGCCACTAACTCAGCTTTCCCAAGCTACATGTCATTATACTTAATTGAGTATAGCGTAATACTTACAGTTGAGCCACACAAATTAACAGAATGAGGATTTTTGTTTTCGCAGAAAGTGGCAACACAACACCGATTGTCATCGCTGTACGTAATTGTGCCTACTGTTTTTGTTGCTTTGCCCATTTGTTTCTTCCTACATTTGACGTGTCTAATGAAAAATCTTTTATTCTTGTTTTTCTTCTTCATGTTCTTCCTTCCTCTTCTTATTCATCTTCCTCTTCTTTATCTTTTGATCTTCTTGAACTTTTTTTTTTCTTGATCTTCTTCCTTTTGATTTCCTTATTCTTTTTTATCTTCCTTTTTTTTTCTTGATCTTCTTAGTCTTTTATTTTTCTTCTTGATTTTATTCTTATATTTTCATCTTTTACTTTTCTTTTTTTTCTATCTTCTTCTGAATTTCTTTATCTTCTTTTTCTTTATTTTTTTTAAAATATTTTTTTCTTCATCTTCTTTTCAATCTCCTTCTTTTTCTTTAGCTTTCTCTTCTTCTTTATCTTCTTCTTATTTTTATTCTTGTTAATCTTTTTAGCCTTATATTTTTTTATCTTCTTTTAATGTTATTTTTCTTCATTTTTGTGATTTTTTTCTTCATTTTATGATTCTTGATATTCTTTATTAATTTTATCCTTTTCTTTTTTGATGAACTTCTTTATCTTCTTCTCTTCTTTTTAATCTTCTTTTTCTTCATCTTCTTCTTATTTTATTCTTCTTGTTAAATCTTTTTCGTCTTATATTTTTTTATCTTCTTTTAATGTTATTCTTCTTAATGCTTTTTTTCTTTATTTTATGATTCTTATATTCTTTATCATTTTTATCATTTTCTTTTTTTTAACGAACTTCTTTATCTTCTTCTCTTCTTTTTAATCTTCTTTTTCTTATTGTTTTTTTTTTCTTTTAATCTCTTTGTTCTTCTTGATATTTCTCTTCTTAACTTTCCTCCTTTTTTTATTTTAATTTTTTATTGGCCTTGATTTCTTTTTTTCATGTTGATTTTTTTCCTTTTAATATCCTTTTAATTTTCTCATTTTTCTTGATCTTCTTTATCTTTTTATTCTTCTTCAACTTTTTTTATCTTCTTGATCTTAATTCTTGATTTTACTCTTCTTCTTAGGCTAAGTGATTTTCTTTATTTTTTTATTTTCTTTGTGATCTTCTTTATTTTGACTTTTTTTCTTACTCTTCTTTTTAATCTTTTGTTTTTCTTCATCTTTATTTCTCTCTTATTTTTTTTATTCTTCTTTGATTTTTTTTTCCTTTTCATTTTGAATTTTTTCATCTTCTTGATCTTTTCTTTTTAATCTTTTTATTCTTCTTTATCTTCTCACTAGAAATTCTCATATTTCATGAAAATATTTTTATAAATTTTTATAAGAATTTCAAGAAATAAATTTTCTACAAATTTAAATAATTTTTTACAAGAAAATTTGTAGGAAAAAAAAACTTTTGTAGTGTCTCTTAATTTTCTCCTCTCTTTTTCTTTCTTGATCTCTTCTTTTTTATTTTATTTTCTTCTTGATTAGTCTAATTCTTCTTCTTTATCTTTTTTTTTTTTTTACCTTTCTTTTTCCTTTTGATCTAATTCTTATTCTTTTAATTTTTTTTTTCTAGATCATCTTCATTTGAAAAAACAACAAACTTTGCTGAAGAGAAGAGGAATGTTATCTACTCAAGCTGCAAACAGCTTTCTGTTGCATTTCAATTGTCATTTTGCGATGCCCAAGAATCTAATATATCATGGAAGAACAAATAGATAGCTATCAAACATCATTCAAACTTTAGATGTTATTCAATGCATGGTGTGAAGTGAGGAAAAAAGATGAAAGGTGCTTAGAGGAATCACAAAGGGGGAAAAAAAGTAGGGAGGCGCAAGATGGAAAGCGTTTGGGTGCACGTTTTACATTTTGGTCAAGTTTGTAATGTCTGACATTGAAAACATTTTCTGGATCAAATTTAAATTAATATAGAAATTTTTTTTATCAAATAAATATAATCAATGTAAATAAGAATGTCATCATACTTATATCTACGTTCGTTATTATATCATCATGTAAATAACGCATTAATGTAGAATATGTAATAGTGAACATTGAACATGAATTGTGGATTATAACTTATTAACTAGTTTAACGAAGAAGGCTATACTTTTTTACTGTAGTGTAAACTTTATGAAAAAAAAATACAAATTTTAGTAAGTAATATTCTAAATTTAATAAATCTATCTTCTGATTTTGTAATTGATATAAATAACTAATAATAGAATGTGATGAAAAAAATATTATTAGAAGATCCAAGATCATCACATATTCATAATCCTGACTAATATCTCTACTCTATACTTGACTATATTTAAGTTTTTTTTTTTAAATTTACGAAAAACAAAATGACAATTCTTTGTATGGAGATGGATCATGGTGGTTAATTTAATAACTGTTGCTTCTAGAGGATATATTGATATCACTTCTATTTGAACATTCTAAGAAGTTGCTTAACCAATAAATCTAATGGATTGATTATTTAATTATAAATTTCATAGTTTCGTACAAACACATCCGGCGACGAATCTACCGAAGTTTCTAAATTGAAAAACAGTTAACAGATCAAGGACAACACCTTTTTATTTTTAATTCATATACAAATGACTACGTGTTGTTATTCAAACTTCAAAACATTTTCTCTCGTTTTGAAAAGAAAAATTCAAAGCATTGATTTGGGCACAAGGCACTACCTCAGTTTCCACGTAGGCGCCTTGTCCAGCGAATTGAATGGTAAAATCAAGTTTCGTCTCAAACACGGTGCCAAGAAATTTTGTTTATAAAAGCAGTGTAACAACACAAACTCAGCAAATCAGTTCACTCTCTCCACATTGAATCTGATTCATCTCTGAAGCTTGAAGCTTTTATTTCAGATACCAACCATCATGGCTGGTGTTGTTTCCTGTAAGCAGAATTCCTTTGTCTGTGGTCTCCTTTTCCTTTTCATGATCACATCTCAAGCCAGCGCCCAGAATAGCTTCGTATCTTGTGATAACAACAAAGGGAACTACACAGCCGATAGCACTTATCACACCAACCTCAACACCCTCTTATCCACTCTCACTTCCAACACACAAATCGACTACGGCTTCTATAATTTCTCTTACGGCCAAAACAGTGACAAAGTGAACGCCATTGGGCTGTGCAGAGGAGACGTTGAGCCAGACGAGTGCCGCAGTTGCCTCAACGATGCCAGACACAATCTCACACAGCTTTGTCCAAACCAGAAAGAGGCTATTTTGTACCATGAAAAGTGCATGTTGCGCTACTCAAACCGCTCAATATTTGGCCTCCTGGAAATTAATCCTTCTTATTATATGTTCAACATAAACAATGCAACGGATGTTTACCGGTTCAATCAAGTGCTTAGCAACTTGATGAGGATTCTAACAGGCGTAGCTGCATCAGGTGACTCTCGTCGCAAGTATGCAGCGGGAAATACAGTTGCTTCAAATAATCAAACCATTTACGGTGCTGTGCAGTGCACTCCTGACTTGACTCAACAAGACTGCTACCTCTGCTTGGTTGGGGCTATCGCAGAAATCCCAACATGTTGTGGCGGGAAGATAGGTGCTAGAGTTGGTAGACCCAGTTGCAATATCAGATATGAAAATTACAGCTTCTATCAAGAACCTACGGTATATGCCCCAGCACCAGCTCCGTCACTGTGATGCGTCACACATTCCACCATATCATCTATATAATACTCGTAGAAAATTATTCGTAAATAATCATTGTAATAAAGGTGGCTATTAGCTATATATACATATATGCGGCAGCGCTACGAATAAATCTTTTATGTATTGTGTTCTTTTGTTTCTCCGCGTGCTTCTGTTTAATAATTAATTGCATTTTTATCATCTCCAGGATCTAAAATAAATCAATCAATCAATTAATTTTTTGAATTTTTTAGATTTATACGTTATAGTACTAGTGCTCAATAAAAAATGATATTTTTATACATTTTGCAAAAAAAAAAAAAAAAAAAAACTCTCTAAAAAGCAAAAACAATCAACATTAGCGGTTTTATAGTGTTCGAATCCTGTTGATACTATTTTGAATATGGAATAAATTATGAAAGGAGGAATACTCATGTTATATATATATATATATATATATATATATATATATATATATATATATATATATATATATATATATTTTACAGTGTCAGGATGAGAATAATTTTATCACTAAAATTAAAAAATAGTAATAAAACAACTCTCAAAATTTAAAAGAAATATGCAAATTGCTGTCATTCTCTACTAATTTTGTTAGTCACAAAATTATGTATTGAATGAACGGAAAACACGTAAAAACTCTGATTTCAATAATCTGAAAGTAGAAAGAATAAAATTAAATTTGACATAAATTACCTACCATTACCAAATGTCTTATTTTAGTTATGTTTGTCATATAATTTATTTTGTACCATATATTTTAGGTAAAAATTAATAAAATATATAAGTTATAACTATAAATAATAATAAACAGTATTTTCACTTTTCATGAATGCAAAATTTACATAAAATAAACAATAATGAAAATATAAACTTAAAAAATATAATATTTTTTTATAATAACCCAATAACTCAAACTAAACTAACCTGATATTAATTTAATTGGTTGAGTTTTAATTGATTAAACTTTTCAATTTCAAACTTAAACAAATAATAAATTTTCATTTTTTTAAGTTGTCAATTAGAGAAAGTGATGACAGACATTTTGTTGTTTTGTAAGTGAAAAAGGTCTGAAATATAATATCGAAGAACGAGAAAATGGTATCAAGTGATGTCATAACATAAAAGTAATATAACTTTATTATTTTATATATCGTTATGTCAATTTAATACGAGCATTGTATTTATAACATGTAAATGATTAAACAATTACCTAAAAAAAGAAGTTAGTTGGATATAAAATTAACATTCAAATAAAATGAAGTATTAATTGTTAAATTATTAATCAATATAACCCCTAATCATCAATCAATTTAACATTTACATTTTTTTCCTTAGTTATACAAATTTTCAAAATGTTTAATGACTTTATCAAGATGTCCATCAATTGTTCCTTAGTGTCTTAATATTTTAACTCCAACTTCTTCTTTCTCATTTTTTCTTTGATGAAATGAAATCTTACTTTGATATGTTTTTGTCATGATAAATTAAATTTTTTGTTAAATTGATAACTAATTTATTATCAATCTTTAAAATCATAGTTTTCTCGAAGTCTACTTAATACTTGATTCACCATACTTTTGATCTAAAGTACTTGACAAGTTGTGTATGCAGCAAATATATAATCTGTTTCACAAAAAAGAAAGTGTCACAACATGTGTACAATTTTGAGCACCACGAAATTGGTGACTTACCCATCATGAACATGTAATATAATGTGTTTTTGCATCCAACTTTATCACCAACCCAATCTAAATTGAAATAACCAACTAACACTCTTCATTCTGATGTATATAGCATTTGGTAATAAAATATCATACTTAATTGTTCCTCTAGTGTACCTCTAAATTATTCTAACTACTGTAAAGTGTGATACTTTGGGTTTCTCCATGAATCTGCTCAACAAATCATCACTAAAACAAATATCTGGTCTACTATAGAAAAGATATCTCAAACAATCAACCATCTGTCTATAAATCGTAGCATCTATAGTTTCTCCTCTTCATCTTTATCTAACTTCAAATTTTTCTTCATTAATGTAGTTGTCGCGTTATATTCACTCATTCTGAACTTCTTTAACACTTATTTAGCATATTCACTTTGATGAACCATAATCCATTTTTTGCCTTTGATAAACTCCATACCCAAAAAACATGACAACATCTCTAGATCAGTCATCTCAAACTGATCTTTCATCCTTCTTTTGAAATCTTTGATCGATATAGTTTTGTTATCAATTATTAACATATCATCGACATATAAGCATATTATTAATACTTCATCACCATCAATTTTTAAGTAAATTTCATACTTCATTTCACATTTAGAGAAACCTTGTTGTATAAGAAAATCATCAAGATTGATGTTCTAGGCTCTCGGAGCCTATTTTAGGTCATACAAAGCCTTCTTCAGTCTAAGTATCTTATGTTCTTCTCCAGTAATCATGAATCCTGGTGATTGTGTAACATACACTTTCTCCTCCAATTCACCATATAAAAAACATATTTAACATTCATTTGATGCATTTTCCATCATCCGTAAGTTGTAAGAGTTGCAACAGTTCTTACTATCTCCTTTCTAACTACTTGTGCATAGACCTTTTGTAATCCAAGACTTCTCTCTAAATAAAATCCTTTGTCACAATTATAGCTTTATACATTGTAATTGTTTCATCTAGCTTTAACTTTATTTTATATACCCATTTCACATATATTGGTTTTTTATTTTTCAGTAGGTCAGTTAATTTCCACATATAATTCTTCTCGATTACAAGCAATTCTTCTTTCTTTGCTTCTATCCACTTAGGATCTTCAATACATATTCAAAGCACACTTGTTCTAGTTCGATTTTAGCACATAAACCTAAATGAACTACATCAGTGTCTCCAATAGTTTGTTTTGCTACTGTAATTATATTATCAGTATTTATTACATAATCATCAAGTCTTGTCAATGCTCTTATTGTTTTTGCTAGTCAATTTTTTCCTCCTATTGCTTACTTGTTGATCAATTTTTTGAATTAGTCAATTTCGTTCGTCAATTTCTTCTTTCATCAATTTCTTGATTTGATCAATTTCTTCCATTGATTTTATGATCACAGAAAACATCCAAATTAATATTCTTGTACCTCTCCATCGAATTCCAATTCCAACTAGCTTTCTCATCGACTATAACATCTTTATTGATGATAATATTTTTTGTGATAGGATCATACTACTTATAAACTCTTGTTGGATGATACCTAATCAATATTAATTTCTTGATTTTGTTATCGAGATTTCTTCTTCTTTCATCAGGAACATATCTCCAATAAATGGAACCAAACACCTTCAAATACCTTATAGTAGGTTTTTTCTCTAACCAAACTTCTGTTTGCGTCTTCTCCTTAACTCTCTTAGTTGGACGTCGATTCAAAATATAAGTTGCAATAGTAATTGCTTCACCCCAAAAGGAAAGTGACAATTTTTTGTTTTTCAACATACTTATGATCATATGTAGGTACTGAAAGTGATGAAGATCTTATTGAAATACTTTGGCAAAGATCTCACTGATTTGATGAAGTCAAAGATAAAGTCAAAGTCAACTTTATAGCAGTTAACAGTCACTTGGATAAAAGAATAGAGGGATTAGTGTGTCCGCAACTATGCTTAGGTATAATCATTTTTATCTTTTCTGCTGCATGAGGTTTCTTCACTTAAAAGATTTTGCAAAATGCCTCTAAAAACGTTTAAGCAGTTAAAAACAAAGTATTTTAACAAAAGCTTTCTTAAACAAGTTTTTAACTGATATAATTTCGAAATAATCGGTTGTTTTCATTAAAGAAAGTTTTGAAAACCTTCTGTCAGTGTTTTAACTGATAAAGCTTCGAAATAACCGATTAAAATCACTTAAAATGTTAAGAGAAGTGTTTTTGCAGTATTTTAATCGATACAACTTGGTTTTAATCGATTAATTCCACTTAGAGTTCAGTATGATTGATCAGAATACAATTATGACCGATCAAAATCAGATATGATCGATCAGAATTGAGTTATGACCGATCAAAATTTTTTCAATCGATTAAAACACGTTTCAATCGATTAAAACAACTTAGAAAAATTCTACACAGCGTTTAAATCGATTAAAAGTTATTTTTATCAATTAAAATCACTTAAAAAAATTCATAATAAAGTTTTGCAGTATATTAATCGATTGAATCGCGAAACAATCGATTAAAAAAAATTAGAAGATTTTTTGTAAAGAGTTTTAATTGATATAAACGTTGTCGTATCAGTTAAAACAAATCTGTTAAATAATCAAGAACACTTTAATGGATTAAAAGAAGTTTTAATAGATTAAAACTAGACTTTTAACAGATTAAAAGATTATTTTAACAGATTAATTAAACCAGCAGATTTGAAAAACTTCTATATAAACATAGTTGCTTGAACTTTTTTAAACATCAATCTTTTACACATCCTTTAGCAATCAAGCAAGCAAACTTTAGTACTCTTTCAAGAAAGATTCGCGCTAGTTTTTGTGAAGTTCTTTGAAATTCTTTCTTGAGACAAATTGCTTTCTTTTGGAGAAGAAACACACTGCAGAATTGCATAAAACTGGTTTGAGCATTCTAGTTTCTTCTTTTCATTTCTTTACATTCTTTTTGTATTGTTTGGTGCCTGGAATTTGGGCACTGGTTTCTCTGCAGCTGGAATTTGGTTGTAGAGGTTGTCAAGAACTGAAATTTGGTTCTTGGTGAAAGGTTAGGTGCAGGAACTGGAATTTGGTTATTGTGGTAGATTAAGTGTAAGATTGTAATCTGTAAAACATTTGATCTAGTGGAACCCAGCTGAAATTTGGCTGGAGACTAGACGTAGCCCTGGTATTGGGTGAACCAATATAAACACCGGTGATATCTTTCTAAACCTTTCTCCTCTTTTAATTCTGTTGCTGCATTTATTATTGATTGATTGCTTTGTGATTCAAGAACATATCTGAAATCTTATTTTTACA